GCAATCCACTCACCTCAGCCTCCCAAAGGCACAGGATTACAGGCTGAGCCACCGAGCCCAGCTTATTTTCTCTATTAATTTGACTATTATAGAAGTTAGAGGCTAATGCATTTCAATGTAACAGTTTGAAAAGTTCATTGATGTAGTTTTCAGATTCCACATTGCAACCAATCTTTAAGAAACTACCACTTATTGGATTTTGATGTAGTATCAAAGAATATCCAAAGTTGGATGAAAAGCTTATTACAGCGCTTTTCCTTTTATAACTACATATCTGTGAAAGGTTAGATTTTCTTCATATACTTCAACTAGCACAACATATCACAACAGACAGAATACAAAAAGCACTTGTGAGAATTCAGCTGTCTTTCTTGTATGCCAGACATTAAAGATTTACACTAAATATTTTTTCATTAAATATTTTTGTTTTGGAAAATGGTTACACTTTTCTAAAATATTATTTGCTAACATGTAATGGATTTGTTATTTGTTAAATGAATAAATATTTTTAATGTTTACAATTTTAATTTCTAATACAGTAAGTATTGATAGGTATAATCCACTTTGGAGTCTTTAATAAATAGTGAGAGTATAAAGAGGTCCTGAGTCCAAAGACTTTGGAGTAAGGTGTGAAAGCCCAGACTAGAGGCTCTGACCTGGAAGGAGAACACGGTTCTAGTCCTGACTGCCCCAAACATGCTGAGTGACCTCAAGTAATGATTTCTCAACATCCTGTAATCATCTGTATAATGTGTCTGGCCAGCCTATGTCATAAAGCTGTTGCCAGAAAAAAATTAGAGAACAAACGGTATTAAATAGGATTTGAAAGAAAAATTATGTTGGAAGAAAAAAGTTGCTTGTAAAATTTGGAATTCAACTAGTTGATCCAATTTGAGTTGGTTATATGCCAATCATCAGGTAGGTATTTTCTAATAGGCAGGGAAATGTTCTGTTTTCCCAGAAATAATTTTTATAAAAACTGGTTAGAAAAGAGTTCTAAGAATTCTAGAAAATAGTACCAAGCTTAAAAGATAATAAAATTTAGAAGAAAGCTAATAAACAGACATGAGAATTAATGGGATTATTTGTACTTGTTTTACAACTCAGTGGCCTGTAAGAAAACCTGTTTAGGGCAGGATTTTCTTATTTCCAGAATTTAGTATTCTTTATTTTTAAATCTCATCCGTGATTCTTTGGCTGATTTTGACTCCCAGGGCACAAGAGACTATAGTCCCCAGCAGATGGCAGTTCGGGAGAAAGTGTTTGATGTAATCATACGCTGCTTTAAGCGCCATGGTGCAGAAGTAATTGATACACCTGTGTTTGAACTGAAGGTAAGGTATGTGTAAGGAGAAACTGCATGGAGGAATGGTTATTTGAATAACAAAGAGGATGGTGAGAGTAAGGGCCTAAATACCCCCCTATTATTGTGGACACAGACAGTATTTTCTCCAAGGAGAAAGGGAGACAGGACTGGCTTGGAAGGAAAAGCCTTGCCTTTTTATGTATCTTGGTTGTGGCCAGCAGCTTCCAAAAGAGTGTTTTGGTTTCTTTTTTTTGAGTCAGGGGTCTCACCCTGTAACACGTTCATGGCTTACCACAGCCTCAACCTCTTGGGCTCAGGCAATCCTTCTGCCTCAGCCTCCCTAGCAGCTAGGACTACAGGTCTATGCCACCGCATCGAGCTTATTCTTTTATGTTTGTAGAGACAAGATCTTGCTATGTTGCCTAGGCTGGTCTCGAACTCTTGGGCTCAAGCAGTCCTCCAGCCTTAGCCTCCCAAAGAGGTGGGATTATAGGCGTGGGCCACTGGGCCCAGCTGAGAGCCCTTCTAGGGAGTAGAAATTGTTCTGGCTCCTTCAGTGCCTGTACTTGGAATGATTTCTAGATACATATAAACCATACATATATAAAGAATAAATATGCAACCACTCTCCTATCGATAGGCCTTCAGGTTGTTTCTAGTTCTTTACTATTAAAAACCAGATTGTAGATCAGGCTTGGTGGTTCAGCCTGTAATCCCAGCAATTTGGGAGGGCAAGGCGAGTGCATTGCCTGAGCCCACGGGTTCGAGACCAGCCCAGGAAAACTAGCGAGACTTCTTCTCTACAACAAATCAAAAATTAGCCGGGCACGGTATCACGCACCTGTAGTTCTGACTACTTGGAAGGCTGAGGCAGAAGAATCGCCAGAGCCCAGCAGGTCGACACTGGGGTGGTTGTGAGTTTGCCACTGCACTCCAGCCTGGGCAATGGAATGAGACTCCAACTAAAAATAAAAACAGATTGTAGCTGTGTAGCTGGACACAATGGCATGTGCTTATAGTCCCAGCTATTCAGGAGGCTGAGGCAGGAGGAATACTTAAGTCCTTGAAGATTTTGAGGCTGTAATATACAGTGATGGTACCTGTGAATAACTACTGCTCTCCATACTGGACAACATAGCAAGATCTCATCTCTTAACAAACAGCCTTTAATCCTAGCACTTTGGGAGGCTGAGGCAGGAGGATCCATTGGGTTCTGGAGTTTAAGGCTGCAGTGAGCTATGATCCTACCACTGCATTCCAGCCTGAGTGACAAAGTGAGATGCTGACTCTAAAAAAAATAAAATAAAACAATAAATTAAAGCAAAATAAAAGGTTGCATCATTCCCTACATAAAACCCAGTGAGTACCACTGCACTTACAATACAATCCAAACTCTTTACTTCGATTTATAAGGCCCTAGATGATCTGGTCACTGCCTTTCCCACCTTGTCTCATGCTATTCTTCCTCTTGCCCACTATGCTACTTTGGCTATCTTTCTATTCATGGAACATACTAAATGTGTTTCTACCTTAGGGCCTTTGTTCTTGCTCTTCTCTCTTCCAGAACTTTCTTTCCCCCAGCTCTTTGCATGCCTTATTTCTCATTAAGTTAGAGATTGCAGATTTTAATTTCAGAGCTCAGCTAAAGTCCTTGAACAATCTTCTCCAACTACCTTGTCTAAAGTAGCCCTTCTGCTACCACATTGACCTGTTTTATTTCCTGTAGACTATGATGATCTGAAATTATCTGTTAATTTGTTTTCTTGCATTAATGCAATACTTGTTTCTTTTTTATTGATATATAATTGTACATATTTAGGGGAATATTTTTACCTACTGTATTACTTGCTAGGGGTTTGCCATAACACAGTACCATATGTTGGGTGGTCTAAACAACAGAAATTTATTTTCTCACAGTTCTGGAGGCTAGAAGTCCAAGATACATGGTTTCTCCTGAGGGCCGTGAGGAAAGGATCTGTTCTAGGCCTGCCTCCATGGCTTATAGATGGCCATCGTCTCCCAGTGTCTTCATATCGTCTTCCTTCTGTCTAAATTTTCTCTTCTTATGACAACACTTTGGATTAGAGCCTACATGACCTCTTTTTAGCTTAATCACTTCTTTAAAGACCCTATTTCCAAATACAGTCATGTTCTGAAGTTACTGGGAGTTGGAACCTTAACATATGAATGGCGGGGGGTATTTCTGATTCTATACACTGAGAATTTTCAGGCTTTTTAATCTTTGCCAGTCTGGTAATTGAAATATGTTATCACCATTAAAGACATTACAGGGCAAAGACCACTGTAATGTCCTTAAGACAGTCTCAATTTTGACTTTTGACATCGTTCAAATTTCAGACATCATAAAAACATTGATGCTTAGTTTAATAACCCACTCCTAGAAGTTTATCATCAAGAAAAATATTTTTTTGGGAGAAAAAAACTATATACCCAAATCTGCTTATTGAAATGTTATGGAAATTTTTTTAACTTGGAATAACTGAAACAACAATAGGAAGGAAGGAAGCACAGAGCTTCTTTTCACTGGAATATGATACTTTAGCTGTTACAACATGGAAATGGAAAAGGCAAAAACTCAAAACAAAATTGGTGTTTTCTTTTGATTGTAATGACATCAAACATCTAAGAACTGGGATAAAGGGCAGAGGGTAGGTGAAATCAGTCTTGTTAGAGTGGTAGTTTTGTTTTCAAAACTTCCTTTTAAATTGTTTATTTATTATTATGACCACATTTCTTTATGTTTTTCTAGGAAACACTGACTGGAAAGTATGGGGAAGACTCTAAGCTTATCTATGACCTGAAGGACCAGGGTGGGGAGCTGTTGTCTCTTCGCTATGACCTCACTGTATCTTTCTAAACTTGAGCTCTTGAGACTCTGGTTTAGGACAGGCAGATATTGGTAGGATCAAATGTGAGGCCTTTGACAATCAGGGGAATTCTTTCTCTAAACCAGGAATGGAACTTTGGCTAAACAGAGCATAGCCTTGGAAATCTTCTGAATCCTGAATGGGGCCAAGTTTTATGTCCATGCCCAGTTCCAACTCTACAACAATCCCCTGGCTCCAGAATACCTCTCCCCTGCCCTGTCCAGTGGATAAAAGTCTCCTTAATGGGCCAATAACACACTTCCTTTGTCTCTAAGCTACAATCATCTGCTTAGAAATTCCACATGGGACCCTTTTCCTTGTCTGTGACCAGTCTGCCCAGCCCCCAACCATGTTCAACACAGTCCAAGGGAGAAACTACCAAAAAGAAAGGAGCTATTTAATCTTTTCAGAGACTTCAGCTGCCCCTTGTGGTAGCACAGTTGATTCTTTCTGATGTTCCAAAGTGCTGTTAATCTTATGGCTAGTGATTGTACCTGCACAACAAGAGGTTAGACCCCAGCTTCTGTTGGTGATGATAACTCCAGACAGTGATAGGAGGGGCTTTCTCCTTAACTGTTTGTCATCAGGTTCCTTTTGCCCGGTATTTGGCAATGAATAAACTGACCAACATTAAACGCTACCACATAGCAAAGGTGTATCGGCGAGATAACCCAGCCATGACCCGCGGCCGATACCGGGAATTCTACCAGTGTGTGAGTGTTGTGAAACTGTGGGGTAGAATGGGTAACTGAGGCGTTCCCTCAAACTAGTAGAATCTATTGAATACCCCTGGTGTTCTGAGCAAATTGGATGTTCCAGATAATGCTCATAGGTTTTTATGGTGTTTTCATGTAGACTTCAGAGTGGCCTTATGGGGAGGGGAAGAGAGGGGAATAAATCTCTCCATTTGACACATGAGTAAACTTGATACTCAGCAAATTAAGAAAAGCAAAGTCAAGATTGGTACTCTTGTCCCAGTGCTCTTTATATGAAACCATTGATAGATGATCCCAGCAAAGAATAAGGAAATTAGATTTGATATATCAGATCATCCAGACTGATGGGCTTATAGATGAAACGAGAAAATGGCTTAGCACTAAAGCCATATAACTACCCCACAATAATAGGAGAACTTTCAAGGAAGAGAAAGATGATGAAGTAGAAAATGAAGGAATGGCCTAATAGATGGAAAGGAAACCAAAACTGGTGAGAGGCCCAAGAATTCTAGGGTTTACCTCTGGGCTGATGATCAGAGAATGAAGGAGGTCTGTGCTTGAGTGCAAACAGATCTTCACAGAGAGCAGAGCTCCCAGGAGTCCCCTGAGAGCCTCTTGACCCCTTCTCCCTGCAGGACTTTGACATTGCTGGGCAGTTTGACCCCATGATCCCTGATGCAGAGTGCCTGAAGATCATGTGCGAGATTCTGAGTTCACTTCAGATAGGCAACTTCCTGGTTAAGGTGAGAGCTCACACGACTGGGAGGGAAAAATTGGACCTGGCCTCTCACAGGAGAAGATGCTCGTGCAGAGGGACCAGTAGCCCAAGTGACCATAGCTATTGAGGGTCATGTAAGAAAAGAGATTCCCTTCTCACTACGCCTTTGGTCCCTGCAGGTAAATGATCGGCGCATCCTAGATGGAATGTTTGCCGTCTGTGGTGTTCCTGACAGCAAGTTCCGTACCATATGCTCCTCAGTGGACAAGCTGGACAAGGTAATAACCCAAACACTTGACTTTTCTTTTCCCAGCCTTGGAAATCTTCTGAATCCCACCCTGCTTTGAGAAATGGAAAACAAGATTAGGAGAGGGAGGTACTGGCCTCCATGCCACCAGAGGAAGATAAGCCCTATGATATAGGTTGAAGGGCAGCTATTGCTCCAAGACTACTCCCTGAGAAAGGTCCATACTCGCTCCGTGGTGGGGAGACAGCCCAGGGGTCCCTGACTGGTGTCTCTCTGACCAGGTGTCATGGGAGGAAGTAAAGAATGAAATGGTGGGAGAAAAAGGCCTTGCACCCGAGGTGGCTGACCGCATTGGGGACTACGTCCAGCAGCATGGTGAGAAACAGAACCCAACCTCTCCCCAGCAGCCATTCCACCACCCTCAGTCCTAAAATTGAAACTCATTTGTGTGTGTGTGTGTGTGTGTGTGTGTAAGTAGAGGAGAGTATGTGTACACACACATGTGCGCACACAGTTAGAACCCAGGCAACAAAGGCGGACCCCTGCTATCTTTTCCTTGTTGGTCAGTTTCACTCACAAATCTAATTTCCCCCAGGTGGGGTGTCCCTGGTGGAGCAGCTGCTCCAGGATCCTAAACTCTCCCAAAATAAGCAGGCCTTGGAGGGCCTGGGAGATCTGAAGCTGCTGTTTGAGTACCTGGCCCTGTTTGGCATTGATGACAAGGTGAGTCAAGTTGGGGGATGGGAACCCTGGCTGAGCTCTTGGCTTCAGGTCCCGGATTTTAATGTGGCACTGACCATGTCCTTGTCTCCACAGATCTCCTTTGACCTGAGCCTTGCTCGGGGGCTGGATTACTATACTGGGGTGATCTATGAGGCAGTGTTGCTACAGACTCCAGCCCAGGCAGGGGAAGAGCCCCTGGGTGTGGGCAGTGTGGCTGCTGGAGGGCGCTATGATGGGCTAGTGGGCATGTTCGACCCAAAAGGGCGCAAAGTGCCATGTGTAGGGCTGAGTATTGGGGTGGAGCGGATCTTCTCCATCGTGGAGCAGAGACTGGAGGTAGGTCTTCTTTGATCTCCAAGGGAACAAGTGGTGCTGTTTTGGGCAAGGAGCATCTCAGAGAAATGGGGAAAAGATGATCACTGTTCTTCACAGATTCCTACCCCATTATAGGCCAGTTTTTGGATCTTTCTTCACCAAGTCCTCTGCCTGGGTCCTTTCTTCCCTCTGGGCTGTCAGAAATCTAGGCTGGTATATCTAAGACCCAGGTCTTCCTCATGATACAAAATACTTTACATTTTACTGTCATGGGCGAGGCACTGTGCTTGGTGCTTTTCATGTATTAGCTATTATAATTCTTACAACAGTTCTCTGAGAGTAGCTCAGACTTTTGCATTTTCAGATGAGGAAACTGAAGCATTACAAATCAAATAATTTGCTCAAGGCCATGAAACTTGCAAGTGGCAGAGTCAGAATTTGAATCCAGGCAGCCTAACTCTAACAATTTGCTTCTAGTCATCCTGTAGTATTGTCTCTAAGTGGGAAGCATGTGTTTGTGGCTCTGGGATTCCTCAGATGGGTGCCTTGACTCTAGCACCAAGAAGGTCTCCCATCCTCCTTTTTGCTGCTGGTCTTAAGTGACTGGTTGCATTTTATCTTATATGGAATGCTCTGGCAACTTCCCCACTGCCCTTGCCTTCTTTTTTTATTTTAACTGGAGAAACCACCCATGTTTCCCAGTTTAGGTCATTATTTCAGTAGGCATCTTATGTTGTAAGAACTATGAAAATTGTTTCCTGGAAAATACAAGAGCAGCAGCAGCAGCAGCAACAACATTCTTCCTTTCCCCCATCAGGCTGTGCCCTATAACTGAAGTATGAGCAATCAATCTTATAAATAGGCAGATAGTGACTAGGGACTAGAACTACCAGGTGTGATCTGATTGCCTGGAGTAGGCTCATAGTAGTACTTCCGTGTGGATGTTCTGGTGGACCCTTAAGGTGCTAATAAGGATGAGCTTGGAATTACTATAAATAAGCTACCTTTGCCCCTGCCCTAGATGATTTATTCTGGCAAGCCATATATACAAGTCAGTCATTTAATTCCTTATATATCCTAAAAGCTACCTATGCCTAATTATCAGATAAGAAAATGGACCCTGCCTGTAGAACTCACTGAGTTGGAACTGGTCTCAAAATCCTGACTAGAGCCTACTGTTTGCTTCTTGAAGGTGTTAGCACAACTCTCTAACTCTTACCTGCCCTTTCCCCAGGCTCTGGAGGAAAAGGTACGGACCACAGAAACACAGGTGCTTGTGGCATCTGCACAGAAGAAGCTGCTGGAAGAAAGACTAAAGCTTGTCTCAGAATTATGGGATGCTGGGATCAAGGTACAGGAGGCAAGCCCAAGACAAAATTGGGAGTGCTGGGTACAAACAAAATAAAAGCCTATCCACAGTGACTCCTGCCATTACTTCGTGGGTGGAGCTAAGAGCAAAGTGCCAGCCTGGGCCCCGAGGTCCCTGAGGACAGCAGAAACTGCCTTCATCTTTTTCTTGTCCCCTGCAGGCTGAGCTGCTGTACAAGAAGAACCCAAAATTACTAAACCAGTTGCAGTACTGCGAGGAGGCAGGCATCCCACTGGTGGCTATCATTGGCGAGCAGGAGCTCAAGGATGGGGTCATTAAGCTCCGTTCAGTGGCTACCAGGGAAGAGGTGAGGGGGCAGGCAGAAAGGCTACGGGACAGAGAAGGTATGCCATGTCGGCAAGCCCATTCCCATTCAAAAGCCTGGCGTTCATATTAGTACTAATTCATAAAGGACCTAAGGGCTTAACTTGTTGCTGTGTTTGGTAGGATAAGCTCTCCATTCCCACACACAAGTATTTTTGGCTCTCCTAACAGGCACTGTCTACCTGAGGTGTTTGGGTTCCTACTCCCAGCTGAGCCAAGCCTGATGACTAGGGGAAGTTGCAAGTACTCAGGGAACAGTGGATTGAAAGATGCTCATACCACCTTCTTCTCCCATCCTGGCTAGGTGGATGTCCGAAGAGAAGACCTTGTGGAAGAAATTAAAAGGAGAACAAACCAACCCCTCTGCATCTGCTGAACTAAGCAAACTATCAGAGGATAAAAAAAGTGGGACTGGCACCATTTGACGCTAAGACAAGACTGCATATGTACTTCAATAGCTTTGCACTTTGTTCCAGCAGACAGACTTGAAGAGTGGTCAGAACAGAGACTTAATTTTTATTACGATTATTTTATTGGTAATTACTGGCAAAAATGGCCAGGTACTACACCTTTTCCATAGTAGGCCCTAGGGGCTTAGTCCAGTCTGTGCTCCTGGGCTATATAGGGTCCCTGCCTGAGATGGTCTCATTTGCAGGACTCCACACCAGATGGAGCTAAAGCCTCCCACAACCAATCGCCAAAGGTTCAATAAAATGCCTCAACCACTGGAGCCTGCCTGTGTCAAATGCCTAGCCTTGCCTTCCAGGTCAGAGCCTTAGACTCCCATTCGGACCACTGTAGGGGTGATAAGGGGAGAAAGACTTACAACACACCCCACAAGCTCTTCCCAGTGTGAAGGATGACCCAGAGGCTCTAGCCTCCAGCATCCATCCTGCGGTTAGTGAGCCACTCCTCCGGAGACTGCTTGAGGAATCGCCCCCTACAGTTTCTAGCTTTCACCTGAGGGTCCGAGCGAGGCTCTGCGGCGCACGTGCAGTGGATACCTCCGCCCCTTTGGGAGGCGGGGTCGTGCGCCGAGCCAATGAGAGCTCGCTGGGTGGAGGAGTAGGGAAGCTTCCAGAGGCTGAGGCGGGGAGGAAGTTATAAAGAGGGTACGAGCGAGCCCGCGGGAGAACCATGCAGACCAAGCGGGAGTATGAGGTAAGTGGCTGTCGACTTGAGCGTCAACGAGACCCATCGCGACACTGCGGTCCGGCTCGGCGGACCGCCATGCCAACCTTTTTTCCTCCCAGCTATGGTGCGAGAGGGTGAATCCAGAGAACAAGGCAGCGCTGGAGGCATGGGTCAGGGAGACGGGCATCCGCCTGGTGCAGGTGAACGGGCAAAGGAAGTATGGCGGGCCACCCCCAGGTACGGTAGCCCCTGCGCCTGCTGGGCTACGCCAACCTCGACGGCCCCCACCAGCCTCTTCAGGGGAGGGGACTGCCCCGAGCTTCCACAATCAGAAACTCCGAACTACCCACGTTTTCACCCCCAAGCAGATGAGGAAATTTGGCTCAGCCTCCCCATACCCGCCCCGTCGAGGAAGGGAGCCAATCCGAAAGCCTAGTTATTCCAACGACCCAGTTACAGATGTCGGACCCATTATACAGATGTTTGCACACACCGCTCCCCGCCCCCGCATGCTGGGTCGGCAGCCTCCGAATTCGGAGTCATCCCAGTGGATGACGGTGTGCCTTTATAACCCCTTCCTCTAGGCTGGGTGGGCAGCCCGCCGCCAGCCGGGTCAGAGGTGTTCATCGGGAGGCTGCCCCAAGACGTGTACGAGCACCAGCTGATCCCCCTGTTCCAGCGCGTGGGCCGCCTCTATGAGTTCCGCCTGATGATGACCTTCAGCGGCCTCAACCGCGGCTTCGCCTACGCCCGCTACAGCTCGCGGCGCGGCGCGCAGGCCGCCATCGCCACGCTGCACAACCACCCACTGCGGCCGTCCTGCCCGCTGCTTGTGTGCCGCAGCACGGAGAAGTGCGAGCTGAGCGTGGACGGGCTGCCGCCGAGCCTGAGCCGCCGCGCCCTGCTGCTCGCGCTGCAGCCGCTGGGTCCCGGCCTGCAGGAGGCGCGGCTACTGCCCAGCCCCGGGCTGGCGCCCGCGCAAATTGCACTGCTCAAATTCGGCTCGCACCGCGCCGCCGCCATGGCCAAAAAGACCCTGATGGAAGGTAGGCTGCGGGAGGGCGACTGGTTGGGGCCAGACGCGTTCTGCCAGGCACTTAGGCTTCAGCATAGCGGGAGAAGTCGCACAATTATAGGGTTAAGCGTGCTAGTTTGCGACCTTTCACTATTTGATCTTCAGATTTTAAACATTTCTGGCTGGGCGCAGCGGCTCACGCCTGTAATCCTAGCACTTCTGAAGGCTGAGGCAGGAGAACTGCTTGAGACCAGCCTGGGCAGCACAGCGAAGACCTCCTCTCAACAAAAAAAAATTTTTTTTTTTTAATCGGAGTCTCACTCTGTTGCCCTGGCTGGAGTGCAGTGGCACGCTTACGGCCACCGCAGCCACAACCTGCTGGGCTCAGGTGATCCTTCTGCCTCAGCCTTCCAAGTAGCTGGAACTACAGGTGTGCGCCACCCTGCCTGGCTAATTTTTTGATTTATTGTAGAGACGAGGTCTCACCAAGTTGCCCAGGATGGTCTCGAACCCTGGGCCCAGGCAGTCCTCTCGCCTCAGCCTCCCAAAGTGCTGGAATTACAGACTTGAGCCGCCTTGCCTGGCTCAGAAAATTTTATCTGAAAATTAGCCGGGCATGGTGGTGTGTGCTTGTAGTCCCAGCTACTTGGGAGGTTGAGGTGGAGGATCATTTGAGCCCAGGAGTTGGAGGTTGCGGTGAGCCACCACTGCACTCCAGCTTGGGCAGTTGGACCCCAACTCAAAAAAAGTTTCCAGTGGCGCTACCACCACTACTTAATCTGAATTTGCAACAGCTCCCAGTTGCATTATCTCCCACCTTAATCCTCAGCATTCCAGAGAAAAAGTCACAGCCTCTGTAGAGAGGAAACTGTTATCAGAGAAATTGACTTGCCTGAGGGAATCCAATTGAGGGCAGCCTTTTATCCACTGTAGAACCTGCTCCTCAGACCCGTTGTGAGAATAAGTAATTTAATGGGCATATGGTACTTAGCACATTTCCTGATTCATAGTAAGTATTTACAGTAAACATTAGCTATTATGGTGGTTGAGGTAGACAAAGCCTGCATATCCAGTACTCCTCTCCAAGGAACCTTGGAAGATGGCAGTTGTGTTATACCTTTTTTATAAATAATGAAGCCTAGAAAAAGCTCCCTTTTCTTATCCAAAGTCACACTACCAGGAAGTGGGGAGGCTAAAAATAAAAGGCTTGTGTAGCTCCAAAGGGTTCAGTAGTCTGGAAGGTTGGCCCAGGGCTTAGACCTGCCCTTATCTCTGCCTTTTTCCTGCAGGGCAGTCACACCTCTGTGGAGAGAAGGTGGCTGTGGAATGGCTCAAGCCAGATGTGAAGCAGCGACTCCGTCAGCAGCTTGTAGGTCCCTCCCTGCGGTCCCCACAGCCTGAGGGCAGCCAGTTGGCCCTGGTCAGGGACAAGCTAGGGTCCCAAGGGGCTAGGGCTACCCTGCAGTTGTTGTGTCAACGAATGAAGCTGGGCAGCCCAGTATTCCTCACCAAATGTCTGGGTACAGGACCTGCTGGCTGGTACCACTTCTGGTACCAAGTGGTGATCCCTGGGCACCCAGTGCCCTTCAGCGGCCTCATCTGGGTTGTGCTGTCCCCAGATGGGTATGATGGGCAGGATGGGCATGAGGTGGCCAAAGATGCCGTGTCTGCACAGCTGCTAGAGGCACTCAGTGAGTCTGGGGCCAGCCTCTTGTGGGCTGCTGGGGCTGAGGCAGGTACCATGATTAAGCAGTGACCCCATTCTCTCTCCACAGGCAGCTTTAATGGGTAGGCAGAGCCTGTGTCATTGTCCAGCCCAGCAGGCCTGGGTGATCACTATCTGACCCCAAAAGGGGGGACACATAGGCCTGCCCCAGGCCTGATACAACTTCCCTGCTGGGGCAGGCCCCATCACACCTGGTGGTAGCTCAGTTTTAGCTAAAGTTTTGGTGAGGGATCTTGCCCTCCCCCTCCCAGCCTAGATTCTGACCTGACCCTGTGATCTCCCTTGGCCATTACCTCTGACTCACCCTAATAACTTCCCCCCCTCTCCCACAGCTTGGCATGAATCTTCATTATCTTCCTGATTTGTCCTCTTTGCTGGGTTTTTATGGGGGGGGTAACTGAGCCAAAAGGTCAGAAATTCCACCTTTTCTCCCCACCACGTGGCATTCGGATTTTGGTTTATGTATAGTTTTGACTTTTTCTATGCTGGTTGTATTTATATTAAACCCCTGGTTAATATATAGTTGTGTCTGTGCTGTCTTGCCCACAACTTAGGGTTTATCTTACTGGTAGCAGAGTAGCCACTGCAGGGCAAGTGCTTCCCCATGTCAGTGCCCTGAGTGCATTCTCTTGTGCTGTGCAATTGGATATTATAAATTCATATTGTCTCTGGGGATCCAGTCCAGGAAGAGTCTTGCCCAGTGGGACCTGTCCTGAGATCCAGTTCATCCCCTCAGTCGCTGTCATCGTCACTCTCCTTTTCCTTTTGAGCCATGGAGTCGTCTCCCTCTTCCCTCAGTCCTGCAAAGAAGTCATCAGTGCTCCAGGCCTTGCTGCTCAGGGCCCGCAGTGGCCGTCCCTTTTTTTTGCGCTGACGATAGTCATCCACCACCACAGCTCGCAGCTGGGCTATGTCCCAAAACTTGAGGCGTTGGTCATGGCCACTGCTGGCCAGGAAGCGGCCGCAGTGGGAAAGAGCCAGCTTCTCCACAGGCTCTCCGGCATGCTGGCCGACACTGCCCACTACTCGGTTTGGCAAGATGTTCACAGCCCTGGGCAGGAAAAGAACAGTGTTGGGTACTTGGTAGCTGGGCCTGCCCTTCTGTGACCTGAAGGATGTACTGGTTTTCCTTACCTGATGACTCCATCAGTGGAGCCAATGCACAGTAGACTCTCAGTGACTGGAACCATGCAGTCTATGGACTCAGCTCTCAGGGCAAAGCGGTCACTTGTGGCCCCAAGGCCATTCCAATTGAAGAGGTAGATTGTACCTTCACTGGAGCCGCAGGCCACCTTCTTCCCACACTGCAGGGAAATAAGGCAAACCATGTCTGTAAAGCTGCCTCAGACCATGCCCCTAGCGCACACACCCCCATCCCACCATACTCAGCTGTACTTTCATAAGGGTAACAGAAGTCAGGTCCCCAGACTGAGGCTCTGAGAGCAGCTCAAACCGACGTCTCCTGATGTTGAAGACGCCAAGGCAGCTATCCCCACTGTAGAGAATAGAGCAACAGGCTTAGCCACAAGTTCACTTTGAGGAAGATGTTTAAGGGGGAGAGGGGGAATAGAGGCAGCCTTGAGGGTGTACCTGGCTGTCAGCAGCAGCTTCTTGGCTGGATCCAGAGCCATGTCCGCAATGTACTCCTCATGCTGCCGCATATCCATTAAAGAGCCCTCCCTGCGCTGGTCCCAGAGGCAGATACCACCTGTGTCATCCCCAGTGGCCAGCACATTCTCATCCACCAGCAGCAGACAGTTGATGGGGGCACTGGAGACAGATGCAGAATTTCTTGGAGCTTCTTTGTCTTACCCCGCACCTCCCACCACATACACACAGTTGGCTCCCCTTACCCATGAGCCTTGGAAATACGTCTTTCCAGTCGGCCCTGTTCCACACCTAGAACATGGATGGCTTTGTCCTTGGAGACAGTAACAAGTTCTGGGGAAAAGGTGTTCAGGTCATGATACTGCTCACCACTTCCCTCCACCACATTGCTGGCTGCCTTCCCCTTTACTCACTCTGCCCATCTTCAGAGAAGGCCACAGCTCGGCAGGACTTGAGGTGGTGACCTGATGACCAGAGCTCCTTGGTTTCTCCCTCTTGGCAAGAGTAAGAAAAGCTGCAGAGAGGGGAAAGGAGGATGAATGCCCCCAGACCCCACCTGGGGTACACTGAGTGTAGAGACCAGCTAGATGAACGTTCCCACCTACCTAGGAGTTCCTGCTTGCATATCTCTTAAGTCCAAAAAGCTTAGTGCCCAATTCTTCCATTTTCAATGAGTTTCAAATGTTAGGTTTTGTTTTCATTCAATATGCACTAATTTAAGGTACATTTGCTCAAGATTTCTTTGTGACCTTACCTCACCCCTCTTCATCTTTGAAAGCCCCAGCCTTAAGAAAGATTGGGTATGGGCCACTGTAGAGTATGACAGAAGGCTCACCCCAGAAGTTGGAAATGTAGAAATCAGTAAGGTAGGGTAGACTCTTACACTTCATTTCTGCAGGAGCTAGAGAAAGCTGCAATTAATTATACCACGTTGAGACTACATGCTAAAAAAGAGGCAAGATCAAAATGGAAGTGGAGCAGAGGCACCAGCCTGTAAACAGCTTTGAGACAAGTACCCATCCAGAGGATGTCCCTAGTTTCTGCCTCAAAGCAGATGCTTAAAAAGGGCAGAATGAATAAATGCCTGATTGCCAGTGAGTTCCAAGCAGGAAGAACTGGGTCTGCTCATTGTTTTCTGCACTATGAAAGAGTAGTTTAATAAACGTTGACAGGCTGAATACTTGGGAAGGGAGAAGAGAGCCCTGGAAAGCTAACTAACGTGGTAACATGAGGTGGATCATGAAGAATAAGTAACTACAAGTGGCAGAGAGCAAGAGGCAGACACTGGACCAGGCCCAGTGGCTCACGCCCTGTAATCCAAGTACTTTGGGAGGCAGAGCTGAGAGTATTGCTTAAGCCCAGGGATTTGAGGCCAACCCTGGCAACTAACACTGGAGGCAGACATTAACGTCCCTTCTAGAGCAGAGAGAAGGAATGAGAAGGGTTCAAGTAGCTGGGGAGAGTAGCATAAATGAACCAAGATGGGCCAAGCAGAAGTCTCAATTTAATCCTCTGGGACAAAGAACTTCTTCAGCATGGTCACTGAAGAAGTCAGAGGCCCACCAGAAGGCAGTGGCCAAGGGTGGGGAAGGAGTGTTCTTGAAACCTTTTCCGAGACAAGCTACAAAGGTATGGGGGATGTAAAGAAAGGTGGAGGTATAGAGCCACTCCCAAGTATCTGACACTGTAAATATGGATAATAGTAAAAGAACTGCTCAGGCACTGTACTGAACACTTGTCCCCTCTGCAAGGTAGATAGTTTTTCCTTTTCAAAGATGAAAATATAGAAATTTGCCCAAGGCTATTACAGCTAATGATGGGTTGGGGTTTAAATTAAGTAAGTAAATCTGATAAGCACAGCTCTCCTGGTTAAAACCTTCAATGGCTTTCCACTGTTTCCAGCCTATGTCCTTTGTTTAAAAATAGAACATGTATTGAGCACTTGCCCTGGACTAGAGATGGAAGATAAAGAACAAAACAGCCTACAGATTACATTCTAGAACAGGGTTTTTCAAATTCCAGTCATACAACCTATTAGTAAGTTGCAATCAGCATTTTGGGTGTGTGTGCACAATAACAGTAGAATAAAATAAACCAGAAGTTGCATCAGAGAGCATCATATATAACGTAAAAGATATTTTTCTGTGGGGCAAGGTCAAAAAAGTTTGAATAGCATTTCTTTAGCAAAGGAGACGAGCATTCAAATAATTACATGACAGATGTGTGATTGATTACAAACTGAAGAAAAGGTACCATGGCACCTGATGTCATGACAGCATCTAACAAGCAACCTAATTTAGTCTGGAGCATGGAGGAAAAGGGAAGAGATTATGAGAAATCAGGGATAGTAAGTCAAAGTGAGGAGAAAGGAGTTTTCCAGGCAGAAGAAATAGCCCATGCAAAGGAACTGAGGCTTCAAGATATATATTTATTAAACAAGCAAACAAAAAGGTATGGATGAATGACCACAGTAAAAGACAAGACCCAGATAGGGCCTTGAAAACCAAATTAAAACGTTTGTATTAAAACTTAAAAGTAGACCACTGAAGTGTTTTTTAAATCAAGGGAGTACCTGGTAGGACTTTAGTTTCTGAAAGATTAAAGGAGCAAGGAACCCATTGTGGCTGTCTCAGGCTCAATATAATAATAATCCGGTGGGTAATAACAAGGTCTTAAGACATATTCTTGTCCTCCTAGGGTCTCTGGGCTCCGCACGACGTTCCAGGTTGTCCTACTTTTAAGTTCTTTCAAGAGATTTGTGTGGCAATTTGTTTAAAGCCGAATGTTATTGAATGAATCGGACCAATGAGTCCTGCAAAAATCGTTCTCCCTGCAACTTCTCCTCCTCTCTCCTGTGGCCAGCTCCATCCCTGGGGAGATTCCGGACCCTGCGCCCCCGGCTCAGCCCCGTACTTACACGAACACGTCCCCGTCCACGTCCCCTGCAGCCAGCAGGTCGCGGGTCGGGTGGAACGCCAGCCCACTGGCCGGCGCTTCCAGCACGATGTCTTCCGGGGTGTCCCGGATCCGGGCCGAGCCTTCCATGGGGTCAGGGTCCTCATGGTCGCTCCCATCCTCTGCGGGCCTCTCTTCACACGTGCTGTCCATGCTCGGGAGGATTCCGGGCCGCGCCACTGAAGCGCCGTCAGTCCAGGAAACAGCCACAGAGCGGGAGGAGCCGCCAGGGCGCCGCTTCCGCCTCGGGGGCGGGGCCGGAAGTGCCTGGGAGCTCTCGGTCACCCAGAGGCGGGCGGGCGGCCGGGCAGCTGCTGGGGTGGGTGGAGCACACGGCAGAGGCCGCGCCCCCAACGTCCGCTACTGCTTAGTCCTGGCGGCCCGCGCTTGGGCTAGCCGGGCGGTGAGACCGTCAGTGTCGTCCCTCCCTAGTCACTTCACTTAAAGTTGGGAACTGCCTGAGTCCTTTCCCCCATCCTGCTCCATGTGGACAGATGTAATGCCCTCAGGATAGTCGTTCGTGGCTTGGTGAAACCCAAGATTCTGTCAAGCGACAACCAGGGTTGTCAGGAAGCTGGAAACGCCCACACCACGAGAAGATAACACACGGGCAGCTCACAAACGCTCAAGCTGCTGCCGTCCACACCTGTCTTCGTGGCCAAAGGAACAGCGCCCTGCCTCGCTGTTCCTACAGCTTGGCTCTAGACCCTCAGCCGGTAGGAACAACAGTGCTGAGTTACCAAGGAATCGCTTAGGAGGAAAATAGCCATGACAGCTGACGTTCTGGACATCCACGAGGCTTGGAGGTACTTGCAGAAACTGAGTTTCAAACCAACATTTAACACCCAGGTCTTTCTCTTAGTGACCTTCCAGGTATTTTCATTGGAGCCATGTCTCAGGTGCAACATTTTTCCTCATTGGGACTACTACCTGCAACCATGGGACCAGGGCGTCTGAAATGCTGTTGCAAACAAGGCCCAATTTCAGTCTCTGAAGCGCCATGCACAAAGCTGGCTTCCTCAAAAGCCCTATTCTATCAAGGGGAAAATGACCAAAGGCAATGGCTAAGGTGATCTTCTACCTTTCCTTGGATATGGTGAGCCCACAGGTCTTGAACTCAGGGTAATCAGTAGCAGCTTGGCATCTAGCCAGAAACAAGTGGCGACCCCTAATGATGAACTTCCAGATGAAAGTGCTAGCAATGAGCAGAGAGGAAGAATAGGGTAGGTGATGGAATGATTCAAGGTCTGGTGGACCTACACCCACTCTGGACCTTGACAAATGTTTCAGGGTGATGAGGGACACTAAATCCTTAGGATAGGAATTCCTGCAAGACCAGGCTACACCAGTTCTAACCCCAAAGCACTTCCCCAAGGTTATCCTTTCAGCTAAGGAGGCAGTGATTACTACTCAGCATTACTAAAGCTAGGAGTGTACAAACTCGTAATAGGTTTTTGTTCTCACCCACAAGTTACTTTCATTAGATGTCTTCACCCGGAGCCCAGTCCTGCATAGCCTTGGAATCACACTGGCCACCTACTGGGCTGACCTTAATCCCCAGGCAATCTCTGTCCTGGGACTAGGCCCCCAGATGGGCCTGAATGAATCTTGACATTTGAGACCAAACATCTCTGTGTACCTCTCCACCTCTTGCCCACCTGTAAGGGTTATTATTCCCTTCTCCACTAGGCACACTGGCTAGTAAAATCCTTGGTGTTCAGGAATTTAGAACAGCTCAGGAAAGGACTGGTATGACTTTCTGTGTGTACTTTTATACAATCAGTGGAATTAGCCTTCTTGGTACTCCAGGGGCCCTGGAGGGCAGATGCTCAACATAGACAAGATAGTAGGTTAACCAATTTTAATGGAATCAAATGATTATACAATAAAATTTTATATACATTCACAAAAGTGTCTTGCAACCTGGTCTGGAAATTGTAGAAAGAAAGCAGTCAGGAGCATATCCTAGTGGAGATTCTCTGCTTGGAACTGAAGATTAATATTTTGGTCTTTTGACTTCAACCCTATAATAGAAAGAGAAATGGTCAGTATAAGATCAGTATGTTAAGCAATTCTCACCAGACTCACAGAAGAATAATGCTGCTCACCCATCAGCTTCCATCTTCTTTCTCTTTTCAATGATCTGCAGAAAGAATAGTGATAATCTATAATCAAGCTGCCTGGCTAAGCTCACCTGAGGCCCAAGGTTTATCCCTCCCTCCCTTCCAGTGGCTCTCCAACCCCCTGCCTGTTCCTAGATCTGCTGGTGATTGTCTACTCCCCCAGCTGAAACCCTCCACCCAGAGTTGCAGTCCCACATACCGCACTAATCTTTTTCCACTGGCGATCAAGCTCTGCCTTGTCATTGGTTTCCTTGAAACGCCTGGTTTTCCGCCCTTCAGACATCTTGATTCCATACTGAAATGCAGCCCTGAAGTAAAAGCACAGCCAGAAGAAGAAGGTCAGAGGATGCATAGCAGTAGCAAGATTTTCCCAGAGCCCTGTGGACAAAGAACCTATATGGGAATACCTCTGCCAGATTGTACCCTCTAACCTGATGTGGGCTAGTCCACCAAACTGTCACAACCCTCCTCACCCCCTGCACATATTAAGTACCAACTCACTTGGGCAAAGCCTCCTTGTTGTTCATATACTCGCTGTACTCCTCCTGGGTATCAAAGTCCCAGCGGCCCAAGGGACCCTTCTTGTTACCCTGTTGCAGGATAGAATGAGGGGACCGGGAAGGAAGAGATGTCAGTGGAAATAGAATTTTAGCCCATGATTGAAGCCAGACTCTCCCATAATCCCAGGTTTCACCACTTATGAATCTTACCCTAATAAATAATAGTAAATGCTTACTACATACTTACTATATGCCAGGCATTATTCTGAACACCAGCATATGCCTTACTTAATTCTTACAAGTCTGTGGAGACAATACTATATTTCTCTCCATTTTCCTGATGAGAAAGCTGAGGCATAAGCAGTAAAAGAACTTGGCAAGATCACAAATCTAATAACTGGCAGGGCAGGATTAAACAAGGCTCTAAGATAAAACCACATTATTGCAATACAATGAGAAAAGGAGGAAAGTAGAAAGGATTTCTTCATTATTAATATTAATGGTGGTATGGATTTTTTAAAAATTTTGTTAACGACTTAAAGGAAAACTTCAATCTTGGCTAGAATAAAATTCAGTTTTTAAAATTTATTTTAGAGACAGGGTCTTGCTTGTCACCCAGGCTAGAATACAGTGGTGTGATCATAGCACACTGCAGCCTCGAAAGCCTGGGATCAAGTGATCCTCCCATCTTAGCCTCCTGAGTAACTGGGACTACAGGTACATGCCACCATGACTAGTTTACTTTTTTTTTTGCTGAGATGAGGGTCTTCCTATGTTGCCCAGGCTGGTCCTGAACTCCCAAAGTGCTGGGATTACAAGCCTAAGTCACTATACCTGGCAGAAATTTAATTATTTTCTAAAGACTGCAATTCCTTCTACCCTTTTTACTTATGTATTAATGCTTGCTTACTCCCTAGGATGGGAATCAAAGTCTGGCACTTTGTGGTAAGAAATAAAAAGAAACAGATATTGGCCCTAAATCATTTGATCTTGTACAGAGACTTTAAACAGTTAAGCTGCTCATGACCCCCAATGCTATTGCTTCTATTGCTGTAGCTAAGTGTGAAAGAGTAACTGCTCAAAGGCCTCCACCATCCATCTAACTACAAACCTGATCCATTTTGCTATAATCCACCTCCTCGTCACTATCCACAGCCATGTCATCCATCCTAAAGAGAAAAAACAGTTAAACAGATGTTGCACACCCAGACCTACACTTCATCTGGAAACCTGCCCAACTAAGAGGCTATCTGTGTAGGAATGACCATACCCCTAGACCTCCCACTCAAAGCCTAACAGAACAGTTCATATAAATAAGAAGTACCCCTAGGTCCCAGAAAATCAAATTTCTACCTCACCCACCCAACTTGTTCTCCAATCATCTTAGCCTTCCCTCCTTAACAGGGTCTCACATACGTGGCTGGGTAGCATTCTGCATAACTGTTGGACATGCCAAAGAAATCTCCCAGCTGCTTTTTGTCTTCTGGCTTCTTCAGCATATGCGATGTTAAAGAATACAGTAGTTAGAATTCCACCTACCACACTAAAGCTCAGACAGGAGGGCCAAGGGCTAGAGCCTCAACATGAAAATTCTAAGGACATGGCTGTGAGCTTGAATGGGTCCTCTGGGGAAGGGATAAGGTATGGTTTCATCCCTATCAGAACTCAGCAGAAAAGGAAAGGAGGGGGTGAGTAGTTAAGAGGGAACAGGCAGGCAGGTGGAGCTGGAATGATAAAAGAACAGGCCAGGCATGGTGGCTCAAGCCTAAAATCTCAGCACTTTGGGAGGCCAAGGCGAGAGGATTGCCTGAGTCCAGGGGTTCAAGACCAGCCCGGGCAACTTGGCGAGACCTCATCTCTACCATAAAAAAAAAAAAATTAGCCAGGCATGGTGGCATGTGCCTGTAATTCCAGCTACTTAGAAGGCTGAGGTGGAAGGATCGCCTGAGTCTAGCAGGTTGAGGCTGCAATGGCTGTGAGCGTGCCACTGCACTCCAGCCTGGGCAACAGAGTAAGACTCAAAGAAAAAAAAAAGAAAAAGAGAACAGTTCTCTGGAACCCAGAAACATATTAAAGGATATGATTCAGTGCCTTCCCAGCCAGCAGATCCAGCAAACTTTTCATTAATCGACTTGATCAACTCCTTGGCAGACCCAGGTCCTAGAAGACAAGAACTCTGTTCAGATCTTTAACCAATGTTCTCACAACCTCCCTCCCACAACACAGTTCCAACCTGTGGATTTCATAAAAATATTTTCTTAGGCAACAGAACTCCTTTATCTAATAAAGTTTTAAATAAACTCTAATAATGAGCTACTCGGATTAAGACTGAGGCTAGAGTTCCCAGAATATTGCACACTCAACCTCGGCCTCACCTGCTCAGAACCTCAGGAATTATACCTAAGAACAAATATGTTCTGCCATTGCCCAGAAAAGTGGAAAGACCTCCAGACTCATCCTCTATTTCATATAGCAAGACATGGTTCTTATGAGAACCTGGAACCAGGAAGTCTTCCAATCCCACCTTCAC